TGTCAGGATAAAAACAATATTTATAACCAAATAAACAAACAAACAAACTAACTAAACAGTTGTGAAGAAGCTTTTTAAAATGACTGAAGAACTTAATACAACGTTGAACAATGCATCCACACATGTTTAGATTTTACATTTTATAATGTTAGCATTCAGATATTATTTGAGTGTAAATTCAGAATGTGCAACTCTCCTTTTCAGTCTTCAATGAAGAAGTGGGATGAGAAATCGCCTCAGTGGGTTTTTCTTTGTATGTTGTTGTTAGTAATAATCCCAATGTTGTCACGGTCAGTGAGGGGAAAAAGAGCGAAGACCCAATAGCAGAAAAAATGTAGGATTATTTATTATAAAATACAAATAAAAATAAAAGGCAAAACAAAACTACCCCGAAGGGGAAAACATGAATAAAAAGGCAAAAACAAACTTGACAGGGCTGGCAGGACAAAACAGGACTGGAGACAACAAGACAGAGTAATATCGACGACGAACTGGCAAAGGACTGAAAACATGAGAGGGGTTATAAAGCAAAAAGTAAATTGACACACAGGTGAACATGACAAACTAATAATGAGTTTACAAGGAGGGTGGGACTAGACAATAGACGGGAGAGCGCAGCCAATGAGAGAACTCATTAACCGCATGTTCATGACAAGACAAGCACAACACTGAAGCACAAGACAAAAGCACGTGACCACAATGTAAACACATAGCCACGTGCTTTGACAACAGACGCAAGACACGAGCACACGATGAATGAAAACACTTACCGTGCGCTCACACACGCAACGTGCATGCTTCATCCCAGCGCCGACCAAAACCGAAACCAACAAGACTGAGACGCTGGGAATGAAACACCACGCTGCTGACAGACGAAAACACAAACACGAGTACAAGAGCGCACGCGTCTGAGGGACGCAGAGCGCGCGTGCGGCTGCATCAAGCAGGAGCGCGCACACTCTGCGTACACCCACGACGGCGCGCGCGCACACAGAGACAAAAACAGGACCAGACATGGGTAGTGTCCGAGGTCTGCCACCAAAACAAGAATTTACAAGACCAGAGTGGCAGAACCCTGACAAATGTAGGAATCTAAAATTGTAGTTTTTCCTCCAAAGTTGTTTTCTTATAGCAAAATAAGCCAATGAAGATTCTTTTAGGAACCCAGAATATATAGATGCAACCCTGCTGAGCTACTGGATCTGGAATGTGATTGGATAAGACTCAATTGGCCCCCATTAATGCTAGTATAAAGATGCAAATGAGCAGTGGGGAGCAGTGAAGACTCGAGACACATTACTGTAGAGGATGGGAAGTTCAGCAGCTTTACAAACCAGTTTTACAGAGAAATAATGATGTATTGGGAAAATAAGTTGACTTTAGCCATCTTTATTTGTTTTGTTGCTGTTGTTTAATAGGACTTTTGATGAAAGCTTTTTTTTATTTTGGCTGCTGCATTTTGTAGTTAATGTCGATACACTTATGATATGTAACACATTTCAATTCATTTTTTCCCAAGCCTGGTTAAAAGGTAGTCCAAGAGTTGTGTGTTGTTTTTGCAGAAGCTTCTCAGAGTCTCTTGGCTGAAGTCTTTGTTTAAAGATGCAAATGAGCATTGAAGACTCAATTCATACCGATTTCTCAATACACACAACTATATTCACTTATTTAATAGTTATAGAAGATTTATACTATTAAACTGTGATATTTTATCATTCGTTGAAAGAAACAATTTCTAAACTTCACAGTGAAGTTTTAATTATGTTAAGTTCAGTCAATACATTGACATGAGCTAACTATTAGTAATGTTTTAGTTATTTATTTATCACTGAACTTGTTCTTTATGTGAGTTTAGAGTCCTTTATTTCTCTTAAAGCACATGCTGCTCATTACTGACTTTTGTAATAGTCAACACACTCTTAACAGATCAATTATTTCTTTACAAAAATGTCTATAGATTTTAACTATTGAAATGTAACTTGTTTCTGTGCCAATTCTTTTTCTTTTTTTTTGCCTCTTATTCACCTGGTATGTATTAAAGATGTTTTCCCCTCTATTTATTACTTGTGTTTGTGCAAACAAATATGCATAGACATTCACAAAAGCATATATAAGATACCATGTGACAAAACCTTTTCCTTTTAACACAGTAAAGCGATCACATACTGTGATGCATCTAAATATTTATAATCAGAAAATAATTACATCTCAAGTTAAATTATTGTATAGGCAGTTTATACAGAATAATTCAATGACGAGTTCACTTTCATAACTACACAATGCAGAACTTTTAATGTGATTAACCTGCTCCACCTACACCAACTACAGCATTTCTCAGACTTCTTTTTCACAATGGTGTTAATTACAGTGGTGAACGTCACATAAAACAACAACTGCACTTACTCCTTTAACCTGTTTGCAACAATGAATTTTAAATATCTGTGTAACATATTCATTTAAATAAATGGCTCATCATTGTGTGCAATCATCTTTAGTAATAGCTGCCTGACCATTAACTGAATAGGACCATTTTACATATAAGAAACCCGTTAACATGTATAGCTGTTCATGCCAATACCAACTTGATAGACTATTACATGAACATATTACATGAACAGGACCTGCCTTACATCTCTTAAGACAAATAAGCATAGTGTCTATAACAATACATGCTTGATTCTCCAATCACTACATCTGAATCGTGCCTTTTGACCTGTTTTAAAAATAACAACCATTTGTAAGCATAGTTCTTCACTAATACCAGTTTACCTCAAATAATTACACATGTAAGTGCAGTGGGTAGCTCGATCGCCTCACAGCAAGAAGGTTGCATGTTCAAGCCTCAGCTGGGTCAGTTGGCATTTCTGTGTGGAGTTTGCATGTTCTTCCCGTGTTCGTGTGAGTTTCCTTCGGATGCTCTGGTTTCCCCAAAGTCCATAGACATGCGGTATGCATGCAGTGTGAATGAGTGTGTATGCATGTTTCCCAGTAATGGGTAGCAGCTTGAAGAGCATTCGCTGTGTCAAGCATGTGCTGCATAAGTTGGCGGTCCATTCCACTATGGTGACCCCTGATTGATAAAAATAATTAAAAAAAATGAATACATGAGTAATATCACACAAGTAGCAGTGCGATGTTGCCTTCTATCCGTTTTTGTATTTCTATTTGTTGTAATGGCCAGTTGTTATTGCAATAAAAAAAGAATAAATACATTTTTAAAAAGCAGTGTAATGTGGCTGTAGGCTGTATGTCAGCACTGATGGGAGGCGTGTTTTACAGTGTACACTAAGCACTCAAGAACGATTGTCCCTCTACCTGTTGTTTAATCTCCTGAGAACTTTGCTCATCTTCAGAACTCAAATGAAGACTATTTAGATGAAGTCAGAGAGCTCCTTCATCTGTCATAGACAGCAAAAGTCCCGAGATGCTCAAAGTCCAGAAAAGAAACCAAAAACATTTTTAAAACATGTGACATGACTTTAGTGGTTCAATTGTAATCGAGTTTCAAGAACATTTTGTGTGCAAGAAAATGTTGAAAAAAGCAGCCAGGTCCAAAATGAGAACAGCTGAACCATGTCTGTTTTTGCCTCCGTATTCTCTTCATTTGCATTCAGCAGACGAAACTCAAACAGGTTTGGCTCAAGTAGAGGATGAGTAAATGACAAAATTGTGATTTTTATGTGAACTATCCCTTTAATGCTTCTGTAAGTAAAGGTAAATTAAATATTATTACTGAAGATATTGCTAAAGAATTGCAGGAAACGTGGAACACAGATAACAAGAGACGACAATTCATGTGGAAAAAAGGAAACTCTATATAGACCTATGATGTTGTAGAAATAGAAAAGAAGAGGTTATAATTATAAGGATGAGATTTGGACTCAGATATTATTTATTCATTTTCTTGTCAGCTTAGTTCCTTTATTAATCTGGGTTCGCCACAGCGGAATGAACCGCCAACTTATCCAGCAAGTTTTTACGCAGCGGATGCCCTTCCAGCCGTAACCCATCTCTGGGAAAACTCAGATATTAATAGGAAGTAATGTGTTGCAGACATACAAATCATCATAAGTGGATTAAAAAAGTTAAGAAAATGTTTAGATTCAAGGTTTGTGTGAGAGAAAGCAGATATAGTGTAAAGTAAAAACCATGGGAGAAATATATCAATAAGTCATGACTGCAAAAGTAAGTGGCAAGAAAGCTAAACAAGAAAAGACTTTTATTTTGGCGTGTGACGTCATCAGGCGGCGCCGCTTCAGCGCTATTCAACTGGAGAAAGGTTTGTTTTAAAATGTTTACTCAGATATAAATCGATTTAAAGTTAAAGTTCGAAGGTTTTAGTTTGTTATACGATGCTACATTATGTTCCTGCTGTTGGAAATATTTTAATCCTTTATTCAACGTAGTACTATTTTATTCTCAGTAACCGAGGGCTATTGTTTGAATAAAGTAACAGAAAAGTGTGTAATAAGTGTTTTAAAGAAACGTTTTGTTTATTACTCTCATATAAAGAAACCGTTGAAGCAAGTGTTGAAGAGAAGTTATTTTGTTTCTGTTCATTTTTTACATATTTTAAACAATAGAGGTAAAGTTAATTTTATATTCACACATTCGTTCATTTAGCAGTCTCTATATTGTTTACCATGTTACTTTGAATATTCGAGTGGAATTAGCATGCAAGTATGACTTGAAAACAACATTAACACTGTTTATTTGATTGTGAACAATGCTGTACTTTGATAGTCATTGGCTGCTTATATGATTTCACTATTTAGATTTTGCAAATAATACTTTAATGAAATTATATTATTAAGGGGGAAGTCTGAATGTGTAAATATAAAACCAACTTTACCTCTATTTTTAAACCGGGCATTTATATTGTTTTATTCATTTTAAACAGGATAAAGTGTCCAAACAGAGAAAAACTCCTGCTGAAGCGACTGATCTCCACACTGTTATAAAGATGGCGTTTATTAAAGAGGAGAGTGAAGATGTGAAGATCGAAGAAACATTCTCAGTCAAACAGGAAGATCTGCAGGAACAAACAGGTTAGTTTTCATTCTCAAAGACCAACTCAGTCATATAGAGGTAAAGTTGGTTTTACACATTCGTTCATTTAGGAGTCTCTATATTGTTTATAGCATGAAAGTATAACTTAAAATCACAGCATTTGACTGTGAACAATGTTGTACTTTGATAGCCATTGACTGCTAATTGGATTTCACTATTTAGAGTTTGCAAAAATAATTTTATGAAATTATATTATTGAGGGGAAAGTCTAAATGTGCGAATATAAAGCCAACTTTACCTCTATAATTAAATCCATCTTGCAGCCCTGAGTGTGCTGCCTAGTTCTCCTAAATGCACATAAGCTCTCATTGATAAACAGGAATGAGTTTCTTTCTTGTTACTTGTTCTCATGTTTTTTGTCATTATTTTATGTATTATTAGTCTCCCATTTTCTCTACCTTCTTAAGGTTATTGCTTTCCTTGTTCTTCTACTGTTGGTAAAGCGTCCTTGAGCACTGGCAAAATATAAAATAAATAAATAAAAACAATAAATTAAAAAAGTTTAACTGAGATGAGGGCGAGGCATTGGCGCAGTAGGTATTGCTGTCGCCTCACAGCAAGAAGGTCGCTGTTTCGAACCTCAGCTCAGCTGGCGTTTCTGTGTGGAGTTTGCATGTTCTCCCTGCCTTCGCGCGGGTTTCCTCCGGGTGCTCCGGTTTCCCCCACAGTCCAAAGACATGTGGTACAGGTGAACTGGGTAGGCTAAATTGTCCATAGTGTATGTGTGTGTGTGTGTGAATGTGTGTGTGGATGTTTCCCAGAGATAGGTTGAAAGGGCATCCGGAATATTAAAGGGACTAAGCTGACAAGAAAATGAATGACTATAACTGAGCTGTCGATATTTGACCTACAGTATAGTAGTATATCATAGAAGATATCTGCTATTACAGTGATAGTGTTGGTTTAGTACTTTCCATTTGCATATGTCACGTTGATCACAATTCCCTTTTTTCATCAACTTCTTTATGCGGTTAAACTGTTAGAATTACATCATTATTATAATACCTAATTACCAGGGCTAATAAAAATTTTAGGCCTTAAAAAGTCTTACATTTACTAAAGTATTGTGTTGTAGGTCTTTATTTTAATTTTTTTTAAAAAGTCTACATTTTCCTCTATTCATGTTTTGCTACTCAGCCTGTCCAAAATTACCAACAATCCATCTCAATAAAACTTTAAACTTTTTATTTAAAAAGGTAATTTTAACTCTATTTATCATAATAGTTTAATTAATTTTTCTCACAATAACTTTTGTTTAAATAAGCTCCATGTATTTACTGCTGAGGATATCGACTTGCATAGATTTATTTTATTATAGTTTTTAAAACTTTTCAAAATATTTGTAAATTTTTTAAAATAATTTTTTAAAGGTTATTTTGAAAAACAATTACAAAACAATACAACTAGAGCTTTTGTTAAGAAATATCGAAAATATAGTTTTTTTTTTTTTCATTATTCATTTGTTATTGTATTATTAAATTAAAATATATTTTTTGAAAGGGCAAATTAAAATCTTTTCCATCTGGGCCATTTGAAAAATTTCTTTATGTCAGAAAGCTTGGATGCGCCCAATATTAAATATGCTGAATGAAATGGACACTAAAATAATTAACTGTTATAAAACATTGTACAGTATTCTAAACTATGTGATGTTGTTGAGGGACGACATGAAGCAAAGCTAACAATTTATAGTGGAACAATAACGTTTAGCATTGCACTGACTACAACTGGCCAACAAACTAGTCTAAAATGACTTTTGCTGTTTAAGAAATGGATTACAGCATGCTGATGATATGCTAACATTTGAGTGTAAAGATTGTCAGTATTGACCATATTCTTCACGTACCAGCAGGTGCCGCCATTGGACGGCATTAGGCACAGGACAATGACACTTTTCAAGGTATACCGCGATTTAAAAAAAGTTTTAAAACCATTACTTCTGCTGTACCATCCCTACGTTTTTTTTACATTTTGTTTGAAGATTTTCAGAACAACAGTGTCTCCAGCAGAAAATATATCCAAAGATGCTGTTTTAAATAGTAAAAAAAAATCATTTGAATTATTTAGCCTGAAATGTTTACTGCTCCAAAATACTGAAAATATTTTGTGTTCAAAAGGAAAAAAAGCTTTGGTTTTTTAACCAGACATTTAAAAATAATATATTTATAAATGGTAATCACAGTACTGAGAAATCTTGATATTTTTAGTCGAGGTTATCATACCGTCAGAATCTTAAACTGGTCTGTGAGCCAGCACATATAGTAAGGGGCATACAAAAAGTAGATTTCCAAAATAATTATTTTTAATAAAGTCAAAAAACTTCTCAAAAAATAAATGAATGAAACAATTAAATCAATTGAAAAATAAATAAACTAAACAAAGAAAACAAAACTGAGTTCAAACCAAACTAATCATGAATAAACCAAAAACAGAACTCCTTGAAATGACAAGACTGACCACATTTATACCAGAGGGACTAGTCCACAGTAAACAAGAAGGGGGAGACAAAAACAGACAATTTACAACAACAATAAACTAAGTCAAATATCTAAATACAAATCTAAATATTAGTTAAATAAATTCTAAATTAGCAAAACTAAATATAAATCTGAACAAACACTGCAAATCATTAATGAACTTAAACTAAAGATCAGCTCTCCCTCCAAGCCATTAAGCCAATGGTATCGGCTAGCGGAACCAATAGACGGCAGTTGGCGGCACGTCGGCCCTTTAGTTTGTCGGACTACATCCAGAAACTCCGTTCCTCGTCGGCACTGCAGCACGGTAACTTAAACGCAAAACAAAACTAAATTAACAAAACATACACCACACTGGCCATCACATGGCCCATGCTTAATGCTGCTTGATGTTGCAAAGTCATTCATTCAGTCATTTTCTTGTCGGCTTAGTCTCTTTATTAATCTGGGGTCACCACAGCGGAATGAACCGCCAACTTATCCAGCAAGTTTTTACGCAGCGGATGCCCTTCCAGCCGCAACCCATCCCTGGGAAACATCCACACTCATATACTATGGACAATTGAGCTTACCCAATTCACCTGTACTGCGTGTCTTTGGACTGTGGGGGAAACCGAAGCACCCAAAGGAAACCCATGCGAAGGCAGGGAGAACATGCAAACTCCACACAGAAACGCCAACTGAGCCGAGGCTCGAACCAACGACCTTCTTGCTGTGAGGCAACAGCACTACCTACTGTGCCTCTGCTTCGCCCCTGTTGCAAAGTCATATTTTCTAATTTAATTATTTTTCTTTGTATGTATAGTCATGAACACATTTGTTTGTGGAGAAAGTAGCCGTTTATTAGTCATTAGTCAAATAGTCACTAGTCATTTCTCCAATAGGCAACTGAAGCTTTAAAACAATAGCATATGAGATCAGGGCCCCATTTCAGAAAGGAGGTTGAGTGAAAATTCAGAGCATTTTAACCCTGAAATGAGAGAAACTCTGGTATTTGCGTTTCAAAATGGCAAGTTTGTGAAAACCGAGAAAGCAGGGTAAGTCAAGCCTGTTTCTGAAAGAGAGGTAACTTGGTAACATACTCTGTGAACCTAACCAGGTCAGCAGGTTTTATGCAGTTTTGAGTTTCTGTAGGTCTCTTTTTCTTTTTTTTTAAAAATTAAGCAGCATTTCTCACTTAGCCCTACATTTCCAGCCACCTATTTTTATGTGCATTTTGGATAGGCTATGAGCATTAAAAAACTGTTGACGGAAACATGATATGCACATAACTTTTGAAATATAGGCATAAAAAAACATGCGCTTAATCTTCACCACATGTTCATTGTATCAACATTGTCCTCTGAGGTGAAAGTCATTTATTAAACACAGAAAAGATTCATGTAGCTTCTCCTTCAGCAGTAAATTCTGTTTTTACTGTTGAGTTTTGGCATCAGGAAGTGACGATTTTGTTCTTTTTGATTCATTGAATGGAACCGCTGATTCATTCATTAATTTTTTTTTGGCTTAGTCCCTTTATTTATTAGGGGAGTCACACCGGAATGGTCCGTTTACGTTTTGTTCATTTGTTTTCTATTTTTAAACGGAATAAAGGAAAGGAAAAAAACAGCCGTTTTTCCATTTTTCTTTGGCTGACGAGAAAATGAAAAAACAAGATTTTGGTTTAAGGTAGGAAAATGGATAAACGACTTTAAAATTCATTTTACACATGTAGGTGGTGCTGAAATGCCCACTTTCCTCTAATTGGTCAACTAAATCGGAGCTTGTGACAACGCCCTCAAAATAAAATCCTTACACGCAGGCTTTAAATTATTATTATTTAACTATATATAAACAAAGGTTACATATTCTATCACTTGAACCACACACAGTTAGCAGGCTTACATTCATTGCACATGTATAAATTAAATAAAAATGTAAATTAGTAGTATTCTTAGACATTTTGACATTAAAATATGGTCATAGTCACTGCCAAGCTTCTTACTGCTGTGCACCTGATGCTGAGCAAAGATAGCCTTTTCCGAGCAGCACCTGGTTTACATGATTGTTTCAGGGCTATTGTAGGCCTAAATAATACTCTGTATAAAATAATAATTTATTATTATTATTAATATTATTATTATTATTTACTTAGTTATTTAATGGTTGTAAGGGCCAGCGTAAGAACACATTGGACCCTGCATGGGGCTATAATAAATAGTACCACTTGTTTCTATTGGATTTTCTCCTATTTTAATTTAATATATGCCTTTAGCCTATTGTAATTATATTTTTTGATAATTATTACTGTTTTATTGCAACGTCAAAAGCCTGTCTTATTATTATTATTTTTATATAATATTTTATATATTTTTGTTATTATTTTGTTGTTGTTGCTGTTATTATTATTGTAGCAGGGACAATGCCACGGGTGTGGCAGAGTGTGCCGGTGTCAACCAAAGTGGCATCTCGCACCTGAAAATAGATGCCTTCGTGCTCAAGCGTAAGCATAAAACTTGCAC